TCATGAAAAATTTGTGTCAACTTCTTTCCCTTGAATCGATAAATTGATATATGAAAACAGAGGGGCAAACAGAGGTGAAAAAAACGACAAAGTTTAAATTGTGAAGCCAGACAGAGAAAAGGAAGAAAATCGACTTTTGGACAGGTGGTACGAACACGGAGGCTGACAGCTGATAGTTCGTGATTCTTGTATCGAGGGAAGTTACGAAACTCGTTACCACGAGAAAGGCTATGACATGGTCTTGCAGGAAAGAAGCGGAATATGTCGGTGTATGAGAACGTATGTGTGCGAGTGCCTTCGCGGCTCGCAGCCGAGAAAGAGAAAGAGGAAAAGGACGTAAAGAGACAAAAGGGAGAGACGCCAAAAGGAAGAAACAGAGAAAGAAAAAGAAAGAGAAAGATCGGTAATCAATCGGTGATTAATCGATCTGCGATTGAAATTCATCGCAGCGATTCGATATCAGAGTATCGAGAGTCTCTGGATAAAGCTAGACTGATAAAGTTAAAACGATTTTCTATCGATGAGAACACGTTCGCAACGAAAAAAAATCAAGCAAAGAATGAGATGAGAAAAGGGGGGAAGAAAGAGAGAGGAAAAGAAAAGAGAGAAAAAGAAAAAGAACGATGAAAGGAAAGGGGATAACGAGGAGGAGGAGGGAGTCGAGGGGTCATCGGGAAACATAACCTCTGTACGCGCAACGTTCGAATAGCCGACTAAACAATTTTCGACTTTACCTTCGTTTCCATACACTTCCGTGTATCGCGTTTCCTTACCTTATGTTTCGTGCAACTCGACAACTGCAACGAGGATTGTCCAAAGCGTTCGAGTTGAAAGGCAGCGTCTGGGACACGACAATCTTGACAGTTTTCCACGATGATGTATAGCTCGGCTGGTACAGTTTTTTCGGCTAGCACATGAGGACAGATAGGCCGATAGATCACACAACACTACTACCGACACTTTCGATATGCGACACTATGGTAGATGTGCGATCGGGCGTCTTCGGACGAAGTAACAGGCAACCGAAAGAGCTTGGCACACCTTCGCGTCACGTTACAACGAGTTACAACGAGCCACGGGCAGCTACAGGCACGGGCTACCTCGGACTCTCCGTCTCCGTCTCCGCTGTTGACTGGTGGCTACGACTACCTCACACCACAAGCTCGTCTCGTACCTGTGTCTCTCTTTCTCTCTTTTTCTCTTTCTATGCTCGTGTTCAGAGCCAGTACCAATAGTACAGTGCATCACCACCAGATGGACGACGTTGTCGCGCGTCGATGTACTATAATATAGCGATTCTTCATGAAATTGATTTGAAATGATACTCAAAAAACGTTCATAAAACGAAAGAAACTTTAAAAATTATTTTGTCCGCATTTCATTGATTATTTTAACTAATGCATTCATTAAGATATCTTGTATTAAGGTAAATTAATACAACAATGAATAAAATGAAATGTCAATTTTTAATTAGATATTTTTCAAGTAAAGACGGAATTATATATATTATTTCTTTATACAACAAACATTTAATGTATTTAAAAATTTTTATCATAATGATTGATAAAATAAAATATTTAATAAAAAAACAAGTTAAATGAATAGTATATTGCTGCAAAAAAACTAATTGTTAAACAACGAATAAAAAACTGTAATTAATTAAGTGTTAATTAACAGTTTTTTCTATTAAAATATTTTTTTTGGAGTATTTTATTATCATCATTAACTTATTAGTAATTAAAAATGTAAAAAAATAATTGAAAAATATTTTTAATTATTGGTATTAATATTAATATTAATTAATAAATAACCTATTTAATTAACAATGATGGATTGATATTTTTATCTTTCGAGATATTTTATGAAATATTTTTATACTATACTTTGTTAAATACGTTACATTCAAATAATCTTTAGAATCAATTTTGTAGCTTTAATTGTGAAGTATCCAAAAGAAATAAATATATCACACGGAAGCATGTTTCCAATATGGCGACGCGCAACTTGATCTAACCGGAACGTTGCGTATAAATCGAACGTATGCTTCGTTAATCATCTTTTAAAATATTTTTATTATCAATATCGTTTATTCTGTGATTTTAGTGGAATAGAAGAAGTTAAAGAAATATAATTAATTTTTCCAAGTGTTTATTCACAAGGGGATTACGTATGTATTTTTGATCGATAAAATAGAATTAAGAATTTTTTAGTTTGTTTTATGATTTTATTTTTGAAACAAATTACAATTTTATTCATATATTTGATTGATTAATAAAATCTATCTATTATTGATTAATATTGTCTATTATGTTTTATAATAATGATTTTGCAATATGATTATTTAAAAATTTTTTTATTAATTAATTTTTCTATTTTATTTATATTTTGTAATGTTAGATATATAAAATATTTATATATTTTGAAACAAAAGTCGTTTTATATGACGTTCGAGAATTGAATTAATTAATTATATGTATTTCTTTTATTATAAATTTGAGAATGAATTTGTTACTAATTAATAATCAGAAAATCTTTATTTATTATTCAATGTTCGAAATAACTAAAAGAATTAAATATGAAATGGTTATTAAAATGGTTATTAAATATGAAATGGTTATTAAAAAATGTTTGAAAAAAAAAAGAAATAGTAAAAATTAATATATAAATTCAATATCAAATGAAATTGTGATATTTATCTTCTTTATAATTATATTTTTTATTTTATTTTTAAGATTAGATTAAAAATAATAATAGATAAAAAATATAGAAATAATAAATTTAATCTACAAATAAAAATATTACACTTCATCTATACTCAATTTATGAATTTATTTATCTTTCCAAGAATAATTAAATTTATAATTTTAAAAAAATTAAACAAGATTTAAATTTCTATGTATTAATTTCAGAAAGATTGAAATTAAAAAAATATAATATATATATATATATATATATATATATATATATATATATATATATATA